GATGAATCAAAAATAATCGCTGTACAAAAAGTATCCGACTCCAAACACGGCAAAGAAGCTCTCTTCTTTTCTAGGACTTTGTTCATATTATAGGTCCTTTATAAAAGATTTTGCGGCTATCGCTGAGCCATTGTTAAAATTAAAAAGGAAAAAGGGCAAGATTCTCGTGGACGGCCGAAGCCAATAGTGCTTTCGAAAAATTAAAACAAGCATTAACGCAAGCCCCTGTGTTGAAATTTCCTGAAAAGGATGAAAATTTAGAAATTTCAGCGGATGCTTCGGATTATGCGGTAGGAGCGGTACTTTCGCAAAATCAGCAGCCCGTGGCATTTTTTAGCCGAACTTTAAATCAAACACAAAGAAACTATTCCGCGACCGAGAGAGAGGCACTTGCAGTTCTGTTAGCAGTGCAAAAGTTCCGAGTCTATTTTGGAAAGGCGCCGATAACAGTATATTCTGATCATGCGGCGGTAACGGTAACTAGATTGTACTCAGGGAAAAAATTTATCCCCAAGGTTAATAAGATGGGCACTCAAGCTGCAAGAATATAATCTGGTAATCAAGCATACCCCCGGAAAGGAAAATATCGTAGCAGATGCCCTATCACGAATTAAAATTAGACGAACAGGGTAATACCGTAAAAGTTGCAATGCTGACAGCGTGTACAATAAATTCCCGAGAAACTGTAATAACCGAACTGGGTAAGGATCCTGAGTTTGGAAGTATTTATGAGTATTTGAAGGATCCTGAAAATTTTAGCCACCAAGATATTGTGGCGATAAGAAATAGGGCGGCCCATTACGAACTAATAGATGGTCTATTATTTTATACAAAAACTACGAATTCCAACAACGAATTTCGACCTGTTATCCCAGCTAGTCTTAGATTAAATATCCTGCAAGAGCTCCATGACAGCCCTTTAGCTTCTCATGCTGGTATTCGAAAAAAACTATCCAACGCGTACGCGAGGCAGTCTACTTTCCTGAACTGCAAAAGTTAACAAGGGCGTATGTCCAGTCCTGCCCAACATGTCAAGCCGTTAATTATATTAATTTCCGCCCGGCCGGGTTTCTAAATAGTATTAAATCCGAATTTCCAAATGAAATAATTGGCATCGATTTATTGGGCCCTTTCCCAAAAAGTCAGTTAAACAAAAGTCGCTATCTCCTTGTTATGGTTGATCATTTTAGTAAATGGACCGAAATTGTTCCCTTAAAACGAGCCTCCGCGAAATTAGTTACCGATTCTATTTTAAATAAATATATTTTAAAAATACGGGGCGCCCCTAAAAGTTATATCGGATAATGGTCCTCAATTTGTAAGTAATATATTTGAAGACATGTGCCAAAAACTGGGCATACGTCATTTAAAAATGGTCCCGTATCGGCCGCAATCAAATATAGCGGAACGGGTCAACAGAAATATAGTGAAAATTATCCGTAGTTATGTTAAAAATTTTCATAAAAGCTGGGATAACTATGTCAATGAATTTGCTTTCGCCCTTAGGACCGCAAAACATGATACAACGGGAAAAACTCCTGCTGAGTTATTTCTAGGCAGAAAGATTATAACACCGTTAGATAAACTATTTTATGTGCAACAAAGAGCCCCAGAATTTAAAATGGGTGATATAGAAAAACTAATAAAAGAAGCAAAAAAGAATACGGAAGTAGCACAAAGAAACAGAAATTATATTATGACTTGAAACGACGGGGAGTAACTTATAAAGTAGGGGATGAAGTTTTAAAAATTAAGCATTCACTTTCTTCAGCGCCAGAAGATAAAACTGCCAAAATTTTTCCACGATTTGAAGGACCATATGTTATAGAAAAAATAACTCACGCTGTTGTAGTGTTAAAGGCCAGAAATGGTGAAACCTGTTCCGCAAATATTGATCAAATTAAGCCCTACTTCGTAATAAAATGCAAATCTTTTCAGATATTTTGCAGGATCCGGCACGGCAGACACCGCAGGTACAAGTTCCAGAGGTGGGAAAACGACAAGTACAAGGGCAAGCCAATGAGAGACAGAAGCAAGTGAAAAGAAAATTGCCCCGCGGAAAAAATTGAAGGTAAAAAGAAAAAGAAGTCCGTTCCACCGTCCAGAAAAACAGAGTTCACGAACACCCCCAGAATGAAGAAGGGAGAAGGACGACGTATGTGAAGAGGACCAGGAGAAAGGACGGCAACTATAACCCGGCTTTAAAACGGAAGATCGACTCATCCGACAGAAACTCTCCGCAGCAAAAGTCGCCGAACTGCGGAAGGGCCATCAGCGGCGGAGGAAAAAGAAAAAGTACAAGAAAAATTTGAACGGCCAACAACGAGGTCCAAGCAGGATCACGACAGAAGTTTCCCGGTTCCACCAAGACCAGCTGCCTTCAAACGGCCAAGACCACAAGCAGAGGAGAAAAGGAAGGTGTTCAAGGGTGGCCGTACTGGTGAAAAAACGGAAGCTTCCAGAGGAAAGCACTGAAGGGCGAGCCCGTACAAGAAGGAGGATAAACCAAGCTACTATCTGCAGTACCTTTAAAGACTGGGCCCAGAAAAGGATGTCCGAATATTACAAAGATAAGTAAAATTTTATGTTACTTTGCAAACTTAAGTTAATCTTTCATTCTTACTGCAAGTGGCAGATTTCAAGAAGTTTTACCTCATGCGAGGTCTACCTTTATCGCCAAAAGGGCGAGAAATGAGTTGTGACCGATTTTTGTATTATGTTTTTAAATTACTCGTGCGTAAAACTAAAGTTGATGTATAATAGCGTTGTGTAAAGACTTAAATATTGTAAAAAAAAAGTTATTGTATAAATTTTATTTAAAACATTCTAGCAAGAAAGAAGTTTTAGTCTGAAAGACTTTTTGAAATGTAGTATTATTTCAATGTAGAAAGAATTGGCACTTGCTTTGAAAAGAATAGAAGTTAACAATGTACTACTAATGTATGTTTTCAAATGTGTAAAATTAACGGCATGTTGATATGTTCTGTTATTTTAAATGTTAAGAAATACCGTGATATGGTAAAAGTGAAAGTAATGTTAAAAATTTGTTATTCGTGTGACTGTAAAGATTAAATCATGGCGAATATGTGGTTAAAGGTTGAATGATGTAGTTAGGCTCTCTGACGCTACACTTTAGAGTTAGCCACTTTTAGAATAGTACCTCAGGGTTTAGAGTTGAAATTAGGGTGTGTTAAGAGGTCTCGTTATGTTGAATTTTAACACGTTAGTGTTTTGATTGTAGGAGGAAGTGTGGCAACACGTAGACAGAAACACATTCGTGTTTGGTGTTCTTTTACAACACATGTCAGAGAGCACGGGGAGAGAGATAATTAAAATAGTCATGAATGAAATAAGAAGGTTAAGAGAAGTATATTCTATATGTTATTTGCAATGTCATTCTGTAACATTTCATTAAACTAGTTTTCCTTCCAGATCTCTGGAAGGAACCAGAATTGAATAAAGCTCCTGTTTAGATGCAGTACAGATGAAAAAAAAAAGATTGTTGTATATTCCTGGGAGCTGCTATTGTAACAAATTTCTTTCTTTTAAATTTTCTAGTTTCTAGCGAAGTTATGATTGTAAAAGGTTGGCCTCGCGTTAGTATTCTAGAGCTAAAAGTTTTCAACAAGGTCGTTTTAGACCTCAGTTTCAAACTAATTAACTCTGGCGGGAAGTATGTAAGGATCTTAAGTTTTACTAACGTTTATTTTATTTTAAATCTTTACTATCACTTCTTATTTTCTACTTCCGGCCAGAATTATAAGCGTTAAGGATTTTATGCAAAGTTTGTCTGGCGAACGCCAAGTATTTAAGTGTGGCCTTTTTGCCAAGCGAAAAGAGAGGAAGCAGTGAGTTCGAAGCAGGCCGCTTACCTTAGAAGTTACGCAGTTGCTGTTTGCCTTCCAGGCCAGAGGTTTTAATCCTCTTGATAAATTAAACGTATTGTAGTGTTCACAGTCTCTGTGCTACATACGCTTCCTGTTATTATAAGGCCAATCTTCCACGTGTATTATTCTAAAGTTAAATTAGAGTTTAGTTTTATTTTGATATCTTTTGCGTTAGACCCCGAGTGGAGGGTCATTGTATTCCGAAGTACGGAAGTCATTGTATATAAAGAAAAAATAAAGGGGTTTGCATACCCTTCGTCTGTATCCTGTCTACTTATTACAATTAGTGAACATAGCTTTAGTAAGCTCTCTGTTCCTAGTCAGGTCCTTGTATGTTCCCGAAGAAGATTAGAAGAAACATTGAACCTGATAGTCTAACGAATTAATTGAAGTGAATGCTCCCTACTTTTCTCTAGAGATTCAAAATAAACTTGTATGTAAATTTACAGTATGTGTAAATACCATCAGTATTCCTAACATGACAAGCGAAATTTAAAACAATGAGTCGCTAATTTTGTCAGTATCAGCATTAACTGTTCCAGTGTTCAAGTTTTATCTGGCACTAGTAGGAATTAATAATTGATTAACATAACTTAATTTACTCATTATACTTGGGTATATACGAGGGTCAGTCAAAACGTTAGTTGCACTGCCTAATAAAACAAAAGAGGAGCAAAATTTTACAGTATTTATATCTTAAAGTTCTATTCAAAATCTACTTTTCAACGTAATTACATTGTATGTAAATTCTCGCAGCATTTGTCGAGGCGTGGTACAAGTTTTTCGATGCCTTCTGCAAAGAAATCGAGTCCAATGTCCGATAACCATCGTTGGGCTGCAGCTTTCACTTCGGCAACCGAATGGTACCGTCGCTTTGAAAAGTCTTGTTTCATGGGACCAAACACATGGAAGTCAGGAGGTGAAAGGTCTGGGCTATAAGGAGGGTGATTCCACATGTCCCACCTAAACTTTTTCAGAAGTTCGCACGTTTCTTTTGCTGCGTGCGGTCTTGCATTGTCATGCAGGAGCACAATGCCTTTCGACAGTTTACGTGGCCGTCGATTTTTAAATGATTTCCGCAATCGTTTTAGTGTTTCACAATAAGAAGATGCATTAATTGTGGCACCCTTCGGCATGAACTCTGTATGCACCACGCCTTCTCTGTCGAAAAACAGCGTCATCATCACCTTTCCTGCAGATGGAACAGTTCGACACTGTTCGTGTCGGGGAACTGCACTGTTTCCACTCGAGCGAGCTGCGTTTCGTTTCAGGTGAGAAGTGGTGAATCCAAGTTTCATCTCCAGTCACAATTATGACCCCAAACTCATTTCCTTCCGTTTGGTAACGTTGCAGAAATGCAAATGCACTTTCAAAACGCTTTTCTTTATGTTCCTCCGTCAATAGACGTGGCACCCATCGAGCACAAACTTTACGAAATTTAAGGTGATCGGCAATAATTTTATATACACTTCCATGAGAAATATCCAGTTCATTTAAGATTTCGTCTATCGTTATGCGTCTGTTTGCAAGAATGCATTCATTCAGGCGAGCAGCGGTTTCCGCATTTGTTGCAGTTGATGGTCTTCCCTCGCGCTCAGCGTCGTCAATATCTGTATGTCCATTCTCAAACATGTTGCACTATTTCGCAATTGCTTAACATGACACTTTTAATGCATGCGAAATTTTTATTTAATTTGTTTCCTACATGCAAACATTTCAAAATATCTGAAAGACAAAAATAGTGATTTTCACGCTCACGTGAATGCCAGCTATAGAGAAAAATAATTTTTCGTAAAAACTATTTTGGAGATTCAAACTCTGAAAGGGAAAAGGAAATGATTATGCAGACTAGAACAATTCGAGATTTTTAAACATATTTCACTACCAGCATTCAGCTCTCTTATTAAGAGGGGGGAATGAAAAGATTAGCCTTTTTCCTTTGTAGAAATCGTACGATTAGCAAGCATGTTATACTGGTACTATTACTATGATAATGATTACAATAATAATAGAAGTACATAATATTAATCCAATAACTACTTTACTTATCATGAATATTTTGTAAAATCACGGAAATTTTCAAAAACCAATTTTGATCAATTTTTACTTCCTTGTACGAAGTAAAGGAAGTACAGTAATCACGAAAAATTCCGAGTATCATATTTCAACGAAACTATCCACTCTCGAATTTATTTAAACAATGTTTTTACGTAAAATCTGTACGTACGGACATAATAAAGGACTCTTTTCCCAAAACTGATTGAAAAATAGATTTAAAATGGATTCAAAAGAGATTTTGTTTCGTGTCGTTTGTTCGTACCTACGTAGGTATGTATCTCACATAACTCGAAAACAACTGAACTCAGAATGTTGAAATTTTGTATATGAGACTGCTATAACACATATTTGTGTTGTAAGGATCTTAAGTTTTACTAACGTTTATTTTATTTTAAATCTTTACTATCACTTCTTATTTTTCTACTTCCGGCCAGAATTATAAGCGTGAAGGAGTTTATGCAAAGTTGTCTGGCGAACGCCAAGTATTTAAGTGTGGCCTTTTTGCCAAGCAGAAGAGAGGAAGCCGTGAGTTCGAAGCAGGCCGCTTACCTTAGAAGTTACGCAGTTGCTACTTTGCCTTCCAGGCCAGAGGTTTTAATCCTCTTGATAAATTAAACGTATTGTAGTGTTCACAGTCTCTGTGCTACATACGCTTCCTGTTATTATAAGGCCAATCTTATTCTAAAGTTAAATTAGAGTTTAGTTTTATTTTGATATCTTTTAAGTTAGACCCCGAGTGGAGGGTCATTGTATTCCGAAGTACGGAAGTCATTGTATATAAAGAAAAAAATAAAGGGTTTTGTATACCCTTCGTCTGTATCCTGTCTACTTACTACAATTAGTGAACATAGCTTTAGTAAGCTCTCTGTTCTAGTCAGGTCATTGTATGTTTCCGAAGAAGGTTAGAAGAAACATTGAACCTGATAGTGTGCCTCCCTTTTTGTTTGCAATCAGCTGCACAAAAAGTATATATATATATATGTCCACTCTGTTACTCGTCTCGGTGAGCTCAGAATTAAAATTTTGTATTTTTTCTTAGATTCTTTTTATACTCAAAAAGGTCTGCGAAAGGGAGACTCACTTTCTTGTCTGTTGTTTAACTTGGCAATTCTCAACTAAACACAAATGGAGCTATTCTACAAAAAACAATTAAACTGCTAGCTTTTTCCGATGACGTCGATACCATTGGACAGTCTAAACGGGCTGCTGTCCAGGCATTTGCCTCGCTTGAATATGCAGTAGGGAAGATTGTTCTAAACATCAATGAGGATAAGACAAAATTTATGATAGTAATTAATAAAATAATGGACTTACCCCTTTAATTATCAAGAATTATACTTTTGAGGCTGTTAGAAAAGTTAAATATCTGGGTAGAATGATTTCAAGCTGTAATGACATTAAAATTGAAATTAAAAACAGGTTATCTATGGCCAACAGATGTTTTTATGGGCTTAGAAACCAACTTAAATCCAAATTAATTAGCATAAACTAAGTTTATGGGAGACTTTGATAAGATCTGTGGCCCTGTATGGAAGCAAATGCTGGACACTGAAAAAGACAGAGGAAAATTTATTGCTGATATTTGAAGAAAAATTCTAAGGGAGATTTTTGGATCGATGAGGCAGAATTAACTTTGCAGAAAATTATATAACCATGAAATCTATAGGAAATATAATGAACATGATATTGTCAGAAGGGTAAAGTCGTCTATAGATGGCTAGGCCATATTTACAGATATGATGATGCATTTCCTACTAAAAAGATAATCTTCTCAAAAATAGAGGGGAAGCGACGAAAAGGAAGACCATAATCTAAATGTTTTCCAGTCCTTTAAAAGTCTCTATGTTTTACATTCAGCTATACTTCATGTTTCTAAGAAGGGATGCTTCACTTAATATTGCAGGTTTAATAATTAATATGCGGATTTTTAAAAGAAGACGAGAAATAAGAGTAAACGTCTTTAAAACAAGCCAGCTTTAAATAAACAACTTTAAAATTAAATGTAAACTCTTCTTTGCTTGATAGTAATGCACAAAATGCAATAAAAATTGGACTAAATTCAGTGCTAAACAACGAACACTCATTTCTTTTGCTTGAATGCTATGCTGAGACAGCATGCAGACACACAACAACTGATCATCATCTCACCTTACGGGAGAAAAGGAGAGAGAAAGTTTTCCCTTTGTCTTCCTGAAGTACATTATTTCATTAATGATGCTAGAATATGGATAGCATGGAGAGGCAGAATTAGAGAACACACAACAACGCGTAACTCGTTCTGTTTTGAATTATCGGTGACGCAATGCAAAAGTGTACTGTTAAAGGATTTTGCTATACGAATGAGTTAACAATTCTTTTCTCACAATCTCAGGTTTACATACATGCGGCGCGTACACCGCATGCCCTAAAACGACGCCTCTGCTATTTAGCTACCGAAATTACAATGCTGAAACTATTTAGCTTCTGCTTTTGTTCACTTCTTTGTATTTGTAAAAGTTGAAGGTCTGCAATGCGTTCTCCTTTTATATTTAAATATTTTATAAGAATAGACTATGATGTCACTATATCAGATATGACGTCACTTTGTCACTGCAAGTATTCCTTCTTACATATTCTATGACAATCATCACATTATAAACTGCCTTTATTTATGCTATGTAATATATATCGTATTGGGATTTTCCACTGATAATAGATTCTATATTCATGAATGCTAAGGAACATTTAGGCTGTCATTCATTTTATGATCTCAAAGATTGTGTTCGTAATTGGAGACTTTAAGGAAATATTTATGGGAAATTACTTCTGCGATAAGAAGTCATATGATCAGCGTACGTGCGCAGAGATACGTATAAATTTTATTTTTGACTGAAAGTTAAAAGCATTGAATAGCGGAATGAATCTCAGATTCTTCTAGTGAAAATTTCTATCAGTTGAAAAAATTCAGAATAATATATGATTGTCACCAGAAATAACTTATGGTATTTAACGACCTTCGATTTAGGTGTTGCGAAAGAAAAAAAGTACGAATATAAATAGGCTGGGTGGGTGGTCAGCTTGTTTATTTTGAGGTTCGACCTTTTTAATATAAGAAACTTCTCTTGAATTGCCTATGAAAATCGCGAAATCGAACACATTCAAGCCCCCTGTATTGATCATTTGAAATGAAATAGCAAATAAAAGTAGATAGCATTAATAATAAAATTGTGATCGTACTGTTGCAATAACTATCCATCACAAAATACCGATTTTTAAAACATGGGTAAAAAAGATATTTATTTAAATCGTCAAAATATGAAAGGCCGCGAAAATGGTGACCTAGTGCAGCAGCCCTATTGCCTGAACCAGGGTTTCTTAAAGTGTGAGTCGCGACCCCCCAGGGAAGTGGCAGGACCTGCAGCAGGGGGTCGCCAAAAATTTAGCAGTTTATAGAATGTTGCCATTGCTCGCTTTGAAATACTTGAGTTTGTTAATCAAAAATTCGTTAAAGTTTTACAAAATATGAAATCGATAATAAAACAAATTCCATTTTCCAAAGTAGGGCTTCCAGATGCCCATATTCGGTGAAGGATTACGTATTCAAAATTGGATCGCTCTAGGTACCGTTGTTTTATCACAATGCGAGAAACATACATACATTTATGTATATTCTTCATTATTTAATTTCTTTATATAACACAGGGCTCTAATATTTTGTGGCAACAATTTGAAAAATGAACCGACATTTGTAGTGAACCAACGCAAAATGGCAAAACGAAATTAATAGCCCTTCTGGGCTAACGCCCTTTAGGCTAATAAATAAAATAAAAATAAAAACATAAAAAACCCCTAAAACTTAACCTATTCGTCGGCATTTGAACTCTGATCGAGCGACCAGTGTTCAACCGTGTTTTCCACAAGGTCTGCCCTCAACAGGTAACTAAGTAACAGAAAAATTATACCCGCATATTTAAAAAATATGCACACATTTGGAGCAACAAAATCTTTGCATTAAAAAAAAAAGTAACAGTGTAATAATAAAAAGGTTTTCTGGTGAAACCGAGCAGAACTGACTTTTTTTTTAAAAAAAAAGGCTATTAAATAAAAAAAAAAAGTTGCTCACTATTCGCTGAAATACATGCAAATGTGCATCCACTATTGACCAAAAGTTGCTTTGCGACCGATCTGATAGCCATACTCGACTCATAATGCGTGAATTTGAACTGGGAATAATGAGTCAAAAAATTGCGATGGAAAGAAACAAAGTAATAATTTCCAACACCTTATCACTTTCTAATAAGCTTGCAACACTAACGATAAGTAAAGAAATTTCTGAAAACATAAGCGGTCCTAAGACAGTGCTAGGTCTTTCCTGGTGACCTTGCTCAGCTTATCGCTGCAAAGTATAAAACTTTTCCCCTCTTTTATTGAGTCTTCATACAAAACCTATACTCTTTCCTCTTAACACCTTCATGTGAATAGAAAGACCAGGAAGCAATGTCGTATTATTTTCGAAGCCTTCCTAATGCTTGTTTTCACCATTACAGTTAGATAAAGTCGTAAATCAAACTTTTTGTTGTTTATCGTAGAAAAAG